CCCGTGGTGCCACTCGAACAGAGAATAACCGACGGGTGCCGACTGGGATCATCGATTTCTACAGGTTTATATCTCATATAGTCTACATCCGATTCGTTATTTAAAATATTTGTCAAAGTACGGACATTTGGTGTGAGCGGTTGATTATCCAGCTGTATTAAATCCATTTTCCAGGATAACTTTGGTAGGATCTTAGCGATGAGATTTTCGGTGCGCTGAGACACGAAAACAATACGCGGCTTCGCGATGTTTAATATGTGCAGAAATTCATCTAAATGATAAACACTTGAAATCAATTAGCGTTTAAACTCGGCAAATATTGCATTGATAATTTTTATAATCGTATATTCATAAGTTACACTTGTTCTTACATTTATTAATATGGTATAACACAGATCATTTAGGATTAAATCATTTTATAGTGTAAAACATAGTGTAAAATGATTTAATCACGTTTTCTTGCAAAAACAGTCACAAATTTTATAGATATATGTATGTATATATATAAAAGAAATTCGTGACTACTTTTGCAAGTAAATGTGCGTAATATACAATAAATTAATAAGAAATAAAGGGCTGTGAACCAAAGCACGGTGTTGAGCCAGAACATCATGCTTTAACTCATAGTCTTTTATTTCTTAATAATTTATTATTTATTGAGCCGGATATTTTCAATTTTAATACACAAAAGTAAATGTAATATAATAATACTTTTACTTACATTCCGTGTAGATAGGATTGTACGGTGCAACTATAGCACCGAGATAAATACTCGCGTAAACTGGTATAAACCAATTCAATCGATTTTCAGTTGCAATACCAATTGTATCCCCGATTTTTATGCCAATTTTTTGTAAAAATTTCGCGAACTTCACGCTTTTCTGGAGTAGTTCTCTATATGTCATCCGATTGCCGGTTGATCCATCTATCTACAAGAAAACGATATCTCTTTACAATAGCATTTAGTCAATACAATCTTGAGATATTCTAAAGAGAGTAAAGAATAATTCTTTTAATTCAGTTTTACATGCTAAATGAACACTCAATTCTTTCAATACACGCTAAAATATGTTGTGAAGGTTAAATTAAACATATACAAAAGCCTTACACTAAAATTTAAATATAAAATATAAATGTGTTTAATAATATAACTACAAAAACTTTTTTTATGACTGTGTATGTTACTAAGACTATAAAATATAAAATTATTTAAATATCGCCGTTTTATCTTGTTAAAAAATATTTTTTAAATTTCTAGTACTTGGAATTTAAAAGGAAATTAATAAATAAATGCGACAGGAAAAATTCAAAGAGAAAACTCGTGAATTTCACGAATTTCGCCTCCGGTGATTAGTGTCAATAGAATTGCAAAAAAAATATCGTTGCTTTGATCGCACTTCATTATCTCACGCAGACCTATATTTGAAAATCGCTGTCGTGGATGTAATTATGATACATACTGCATAAACACGGTTGCTGTTTTCGCGCAATTTGTTCAATATGACATCTGCCACAGATACATTTGGCGTTGGCTGTTTCAGACGACGCTCATATATCTTCCCCATCTTTGCAACAATGGAGTGGAGTTTGACTGATGTAATTTTGAATGGGGACCCCCTCCGATTAGGCTGAAATTTTACAAATGATATTATTGCATTATATAATGATAATTTTTGAAGTTCTTTAGCTTTTGTATAATTTAAAAGATAAAGAATAAAAAAGAGAAATATTATGATTTAAACTATACGCAATATAATATAACTCATATCGTCGATTTCTAACAAATTGATGGAAAAGTCATGAACCCGAATGACGATCTGTAATTTCCTCATCATCTTTAACACGTCCCTTTGTTTGTCCGTATAATTGATCTAAGATGTATCTAATGCTACGAATGAATCATCTAATTATGTATGGAGCGCGTTAATATAATGATTTTTTTTAATATGCGTAAAACTCACCAAAACGTGAATACGAGGAAACCGATAATTAGTTTATGATAAAACAGGAGACAGTTTCAAGAATCGCTTTCATCGTCATAACGACTGCATTAGAATAATAAGCGCCGAACAGACGATTAAGCGCCAGGCAGATCAAACCAGTAATTATTTACAAATATAAAAATCAAGAAGAATAATTATTATTTGAAATCCTATCAAGAATTGACTGCTGTAACAATCATGTAGGAGGGCTGTATCACTATTTAAATTGATGTCATTCTTCTGAGTTTTGATATAAATCATCTCTAAAATGAGTCGTTTGAAATAATTGGGTTCGTAATCAAGATAATCTTGTATTATTTCAATTAAAAGTACGACTCAATTCCAAAATATGATTCGTTAATTATAACTGAATGTTTCCTTTTCTCGGGACCTAAGAAGGTTATTTTATCTTGACTAACTTCTACAAAGAAATTTGTTAAATAGCATACAAAGAATCTTATCACTGGAGCCGATAAGGGCAATTCGATTGTAATTTTAGATAAAAAAGTATACGTATCTAAAATGAATGAGATGCTTTCTGATAAAAATACATATAAAGTTATTAACAAAGATCCTACCAAAATATTCACCGGCGAGTTACGTACATTGCGCTAAAGATGGAAGAACAGAGAATTTATAGATTATGGTATTTATAAGAGATTGTTGCACACTGATAGGATAATTTCGAGAGTCTATAGATTGCCTAAAATCCATAAACCAGGATTTCCTTTACGTACAATTTAGTTTCTTTGATTAATAGTCTGTTGTACAATTTAGCTTATCATCTGCATTTAATTATTAAGAATAGTATTCCAATAGCTGGCAGCCGTGTCTCGAATAGTTCACCAAGTTATCACTTGGTCAATAAGCTTAAAGGTATCTATTTGAATCCAAATGATAAACTTAAAAAATGTAAAAAACTGTAAAAAAAAATGTGGATTTTAAAATCAATCGAATAGCCGTTAAAAATTTGTCGTGCGGAATGGAAGCATTATTTTGGATTTGGTATCTCTCTTTACAAATGTACCCAGTAAGTACGGACTTGGCTATCAAGTGCATTTCCATGATGGAAATTAATTTTTAATAATGCTTCCATTCCGCACAACAAATTTTTAACGGCTATTCGATTGATTTTAAACTCGACATTTTTTTACACCTTCCAACTGTACAATTTTAAAAACAGATTTATGGTACACTCATGAAGGCTCTCATCTATCTCCTATCTTAGTCGATCTTATACTTCAAGATCTCAAACAAAAAGCACTAAAGTTGTTATCAATATATCTGTCCTGTTATTTCCGTTCTGTTGACATCTTTTTAGCAGCGTCTTTTGATTTATTGGACCACATTTTGGAAACTTTTAATTTGTTACATAATTGACTTCAGTTCACAATGGATGTTGGTGAGAGTTATCATTTAAATTTTCTTGATGTTACTGTCATTATTTTAAAAAAAATTATTTTTGATTTATACGAAAAATTTTTTCTGGAAGATGTATGAATTTTTACTCTCACCATTTTTCTTCACATAAAAAGGGTATGTGTACAGTTTGGTTGACAAAATAATTTTGTTGTCTGATCCTTCTTTCCACAAAAAAACTCACTGAGGCCATTAGCTATTTACTAATTGATAATGGTAATTCCATAGCCTTAATTTTTTTCACTATCAAATTCAGACTTAAATATCTTTTTCTAAATAAAAGGCCTTCTAATTAAAGTTGAGATTAACACTCCATCTTAAAAATGTTTTACATTTCCATTTATTGAAACCATTTTTGAGCAATTCTTGCCGATTACTATAACAAATGTAATATAAAAACTGCCTTTATCATACCGAACACTCTTAATAAGTTTTATAAAAACCGATAAGGATCTGTTAGAATTTATAACTCACAGCAATGTAGTTTATAAAATTTCTGGTCAGAACTGTGATACCACATATGTTGACCAAACTAAGCATCAACTTAAAATTAGGATCCAAGAACATCTATCTAATACAAAAAAGTAAAAGGCTCTCCCTCAGTCGTTTTCATTCATCGTTCGAAAATCATAATTTTAATTGGGACAATGTCCAGATATTAGACAATGAAAAGTAATACTACAGAAGATTGACTTCAGAGATGATTTATATTATTTATATTATAAAACAAAAAAAATAGTTTGAATAAACAAAGTGACACGTAATTTCTTTCAGACGTATATCTTCCAATCCTTAATTCTTTAACTACTTCCTAACGCTGCCTTATCGTTTTCCCTCTCCTCTTCTTTGTTCTTCGCATGTAAACGCATGTAAACGTAAATTAATCTTTGTCTCTGATGATTTTAATTAATGTTATCCATGTCATTCGATTATGATATAATAGAAGAGTAATTAAAAAGTAACAATTTGTTAATTTTTAAATAACTGTAACCATAACATATACATTTTAGAATCGGTAATTAATTATTTTGTGAAAGCAAAAAACTCTAACTGTAAGTTATTTTTACAAAGTAACTCCTCATTTCTGTATGCATATATGTATACATATTTATTTCATAACGTTTCGCTGAACGACCGAATGAATAGATCGATTTACATTTATTGCACTTAATGTAAGCATTATATTATATAAATAAAATAGGTTAATAAAATTTAATAAATACCTCAGAAACTTTTTTTTCTATACAGCAGAAAGAAAACTACATTATTATTGCGGTAGAAATAATAAGAATAATTTAATATAATTTCTAATGTTTATGAAATTATATTCTTCTATTTTCTTTATAACTTAAAAATTAATGTGAATCTTAATCTGAATATTTTACATTTTTAGCAAAGAAATCCGGGTTTCGATTCCCGGCTGAAGAGATATTTTTTGCAATAAATTTCTTCACAGTTTCGGGGGGAGGGAATTCTTATAGATACTTATTAACATCAAAAATATTAAATTGCTTGACAATTTAATCCGTTACAATGAATTCTGGCCTCATGTAAGAACTGTGTTTCAAGACCGACAATATATGCGGCGCGTAGTTTATATATGTGGCTTGACATTGTAACAATAAGGGTAACAAAAATTATTACACACCAATCCGTGTCGGCTCGCAAAGGCACATTGAGTTATTTATGATTTTATTACATTTTTGTTTTGTTATAAATTTATTATTATGAAATTACTTTTGCATAAAAATAAAGTGATAATTACTGCAAGATTCTTACTATCCGGCTCTTGCTAATCTTGAAAATCACTCAAGTAATTTCTTCTTACACAACAATAATATAATGTATTACTCAAACTTCGTTGATAGAAATGTACAGCTCTTTTTTATTACAATTTGCGCACATGCAAGATATTAATATAATTGATAACTAGAAAGTATTGAATAAAGTGATGCAGCACTTTTCAACTGACATTTCAAGAGATTGTAACAGACTTATTGTAACGTCGCGTCTTCAGATACAAGTTAGGCACATTGAGAACTTATACCATACTATGCGTTAGGGTCCATTACCGTGTTTTATATCATATCTGGTCGCGCTGGTAGGAGAGACTGCCTCCACTCGAATCAGAAATTATCACTCTGAAATAATATAAACGTAAACATGGATATTTCCTTCTTATGCAAGCAATTTATTTTTACATTCGCAGACAAAGATAATGTTTATTGTTGTTGCGATACATATTTTTTTCTTACATGAGTTTGGAAAATTTATAATACACAAATCCAATTTAATACTGGAAATTTACTTTGAGTATTAAATACGTTGAAGAGCAGCGTATTTAATACTCTACTAGAATTTGTAATTAATCACTAAATTAATTTCAGTATAAAATTTTTTTAAGTGTATACGATTGATTAGCTTGTTTCTATTTAGAAAATAATAATAAAATGCAAGCATTTTGTTCTTCTTGAACGATATTTACAGAAATACAATTTTTATATAAATAATGTATGTAAATTGTAATAGTTGTTATCTGCAACTATGACTATAAATATACGAGTATTATACTGGCAATAATGCATGCCACGGAAAGAATGATTTTGCTGGATTCAAATCTGAAAATAATTTTCGTTATACAATCAAAATTAATTTTGTTGGAAAGTCAAACTGATTGCTAGAATATCAAAATAATTTTGTTGGAAAGTAAAAAATGCTTATCATTTTTTATTTTGCAACAAAATTATTTTGATAATTCAAGAAGAATTATTTTCAGATCTGTATTTAGCAAAATTTTTAGACCTTTCAACAAAATCGTTCTTTCCGTGTGTAATCAGCTGCATTTGAATAAGATGTTATATTTAGCATTGGACTTTATGCAAATATACATGTATAATTTCGGTAATTATCTTTCAAGATTGACTTTATGACAAATATTATCAAGTTTTTCGAAATAATGTTTGCATAATATATGTTAAAAATATGACAGCGTGATGATATCAAATTGTTACCATATTTGCATCACTTGCGAATAAGATCAATATGCAAGGTACTCCAATATGCTAATTTCGCTAAGATATACATATATGTATTAAGAACGGAAAACACCTAACATACAAATATATTATGTAAATAACGTTTCAAGAAGTTGTAACAGACTTAATTTTAGTTTACCAGATAACTTGTTTATATCCATTATATGTATAAATCTATATAAATTACATTTATAAATTTTAGTTAATCATATTTTTAGTTTAATCACTGTCATACGAAAATAACATTGATGCGCAAACAGAACGATCAGCAAATTGAAAAAAATAAACGTTGATATTAAAATATCATAGATTTTTAAAGATCGCGCAATCGCTTGTCGACTCCGAATGGTAGACATTGCCGCAGTGTCGATTTAAGGCACCTGCGATATAGTGTGTTGCCACTGTCAATGCGAATTTCTTGGCTGACTGTGAGTAGTCAGGAGCCTTTAAGTTACGTCATATATCAATGTTATAAGATAGTAAGCCGTAAGAAGTTCTACAATGTGTCGTATGCCGGTGTCGTAAGCAGTAGGAATTGATCAATCACAGTCGAATACTCGACTTGTGAAGAGAACGGATCTTACTGTGAAAAGTGTTGACCACGAAACTTTGTCTTGCATGTCATTTCGTTATTATGTGCTTAATTGTGAAAATGTGACTTGTCGCGTACATACTTATCAAATTCGTAAAAATGGATAGAAAGTAAAGTTACTTTTGAATTTTATACATAAAAGCAGATTTTTCACTCCTTTCAGCAGCTGTCAAACTTTGTGTTTCAATTGCCTAAATAGGCTTTACTTTACGTGTCTTTTACGATTATTTACTAATTGTCAGGGGAGGGGGGAAGGATAATTTTCAACCGTTTTTTAAAGCGATTTCATTTTTTATTTCATCCAAATTCTCTTTATTTAAAAATGAAGAAAATTTTACGTCATTTCCAGTAAACAAAAATGAATTAAAATGGATTGAAATTTTTTAATCTACACTGAAAAAAAAAATTACTTAAAACAAATAAATATGTTTCAGGTACCCCTCAAAGAAATAATTTTCTTGAAGCAAGTAAAATTTTTTTATTTTAAGTAAAAGTATTTGCACTGAG